ATCATGCAGGCAGAATATATGTTCCCTATCTCCAATACACATTGTGCAAAACTGAAAGAGAAAGGGACACAGAATGCATGGGCACCCTTTTAGGGGGCAGAAGTAAATTGACTTTCTGGGCCTTACTCACACTATGCCCATTTGTTTTTCTTTTATAGACTAGGATCATGAGAATCTTCAACAGAAGAAATGCCAAGAGGGCTAGAATCTCACCAGATGGTGGCATTAATAATGGAACAAACTAGAACTGATGACAGAGACATCAAGTCTGAAAATGACACAAAGAATATAAATACTGTGAGATGGCTCCCCCCTTCCAAATTCTGCCTCTTGCCAAATAGTTTCATTTCTTCCACATTATCCGTGGTAAAGTACGGAACACGGAATCACGCGTCACGTCCAAAAATGCTCTGCTAGTGACATTGTATGGTTCACTCCTTTTTGTCATACATGACTTTAAATAATAAATTGATGGTTATTAAAATCACAGGACATTTAATAGGAGTTTATTTTACTTGCATCACCACTTTGATTCAAGAAAGGATTTAAGGTGAGAAGGAAAAAGGGTAAACAAAGGCCAGAACTTTACCTACAATCAGAACTGAAGTAGATCTCTAGGAATGAATGCCGTGTAGTTCCCCTTGCCCCACCTGGGTGACTCTAATGCGTGTGGCATCTCTCCTCTCACACCGCCATCTAACCCACGCACTCCCTTGTGGTTGGGCAGAGGTAAAACTCAGAATTTAGTTAGCAGATGGCAAGCTGCACACGTGTAGATGAACAGTCTTGAATCTGGAGACGAAGATCCAGTTGTACATCTTTGAATTGTTCACCATCAGCATTGTAACTCCCCTGACCCACATACAACTTTCCTGCCACAAAAGTCCCAACTTCCCCCCGACTCCACGCTCCCCACCCCCAAAGACCCACAGACATACAGGAAAGGTATCCCAAGTCCGTGTACTCTTCAACACAGACACTGAAAATGACCCTCATTAAAATTGTTAGGATCCCCTAACAATACCTACCCTGTTCTGGAAGCTGTGTGGTCATGCAGTGCCATTCCCAAGGTCGTCTACTTGCCATGTCTGAATTATTGCCAGAATTATGACCAGGAGTTAAGGAAAGGGGAGTAATTATTTTAGGATTCAAACAAAAATCAGAAGGAATTGGAATTCTCAAAATGAAACGTAGTTGAGGTGCAAAGTAATAAAGGGTTGAATGATGCAAAAGAAAGGGTTCCAAAAGTTTGGGTGTGTGCATGCACACACACGTGTGTGTGTAGCATATGTAGTATATATAATATAAATGTATAAATTATTCCAAAAAGAAATAATCAGCATGAAAATTCAAAGCAATCATATGTAAAATATACAAAAAGTATGACAACTAGCAAGAACTGTTGGTTACTAGGCCTTATTATGTGTCAGATTCTGCTTTAAATGCTGTCCATACAGTGTCTTATTTCATTTTAATCCTCATAACAACCCTGTAAAATAGATACTATTCTTATTTTGTAGATAAGGAAACTAAAGCTTGGTGAGGTTAAGTCACTTGCTCAGGGTTCACGCCAAGAGTAGCAAAATGAGGAATCAAATCAGGGCCTGCCTGCCTCCCAGGTGAGGTCTGACCGTTACCTTGTGCTGCCTCCCAGTGGCAAGAGCTGGTAATTACCAAACATGAATTCTAGCTGTTCCTCAACTGTTTCTACCTATGAGATGAGATGGGTTGGGCAAAAATGATCTCCAAAGTCCATTTTTTATCCAGCATTCTTCATTGCACCAGATTTGCAAAAATATGTCCACGTATCAAATCGATTCTTAAGTATCCTGACTTCATGACCAAATTGATGCCGATTTATTCAGCCCGGAATTTATAAATTACACATTATGCCTAATTTGTGTCACCTTTGCATTCTCGGCACTGGGAACAGTTGTCTTTCACACCAGAGGGTCTCAGAAACGACTAGCACATCCTCAGGGACCTATGTAAGACCATTAAGCCACCTCCACACTTGTCTTTTTTGGAAAAAGGAAAGAAAAACTGGGGAAAAAATGGAGCTAATGGAGCTAGAATTGAAGTTAAAGATAATTTATTGAGTTCACTCTCTTTGTTTTATAAGTGATTAAATTAGGCCCAGAGACGACATTTTTGTTATATCGATATTGGTATTACCAGTATTATCATTACTATTGTCATCATTTTCATTTTCTAAGGGTCCTACTGACTGAGAATTCTTCCTTCTTTATTCACTGTGAAATATCCCAGGATAAGAAGTGTCAGAGGCTCTTGCCTTTTTTTTCTGAGCTGGAGATTTAGGAACCACAGCCCTCTGCCCTCTTTTAGTCCCCACTCCACACACACACACACACACACACACACACACACACACACACACAACTCATTCAGGAATTCCATCCTTAATCTTTAGATTATGGACAATTATTTTCCTTAGTGTATACAGTTTTGAGAAAAAATTACTTACAAAAATTTGGGGTGGGAGGACTTCCCTGGTGGCACAGTGGTTAAGAATCCACCTGCCAATGCAGGGGTCACAGGTTCGAGCCCAGGACGATCACACATGCCGCGAGCAACTAAGCCCCTGCACCACAACTACTGAGCCTGCACTCTAGAGCCCATGAGCCACAACTACTGAGCCCGTGTGCCGCAAAAAAAAAAAAAAAAAAGAATAATACATCTTGACCAAAAGGGGGTTATTCCAGAAATAAAGGACTAGTTTAACATATGAAAGCCAATGTAATTAATGACATTAACAAAATAAATGAGAAAAATCAATAAATGAGACAAATGAGCAAAATTCAAATAAACCTACAAACAGACTATTGATAATTAAGAAATTTATCAAGGGTCCTGGGTCACTATACAAAAATCAGTTGTATTTCTATATGAGAGTGACAAACAAGCAAAAAATAAAATTTAGAATTACCATTTACCATAGCATCAAAACATACATATCTCTAAATAATCTAATGAAAGATGTATAAAATGTCTACACTGAAAACTGCAAAGCATTAATGGGAATTTTTTTAATAGGCTTAAGTAAATAGAAGGGTGTACCCTAATCATTGACTGGAAAGTTCAATGTTGTTAAGACATCAGTTCTCCGAAAATTTATTTATAAATTCAGGGCAATTCCAATAAAATCCTAATCGTTTTTCTTTTTTGTTGGGGAGCTGGGTAGAAATGGATAAGCTGAATCTAAGATTTATATGGAAGTGCAAAGGACCTAAAATGCCCAAGGAAATACTGAAGAAGTAGAACAAAGCTAGTGCATTTAATCCACTAGATATAAAACATACTAAAAAACCACAGATATTAAGACAATGCAGTACTGTTACTATAATACACAAAGAGACCAATATAATAGAAATAAGAGTTCAGAACAGATGCACAAGTCTCCTGCATCTCATTTGTGAGGGAAAAACTCCACTGCAATTCAGTGGGAAAAGGTACATGGGGCTGGGTCAGTTGGACAGCTATACAGAAAAAACAAACAAACCTTGACCCCCTACCTTATACCAACCTAAATATAAAAGTTGAGGCAACTTATAAAATAAATATAGGAGAATAATACAGGAGAACATCATCATAAGAGTAGGCAAATATTTCTTAAGCATGCAACAAAAACTACTAATAAAAAATAAAATATAATTAAATTGGACATCATTAACAGAACATGCATTCATGAAACACCACCACAAGACAGTGAAAAAGAAAACCACAGAATGAGGGTTGATATGTGCAATACATGCTTTAACAACAGACTCATATTCAGAATATATAAAGAATTCCTACAAATTAATAAGGAGACACAGACAAGCCAATTAAATGATAGGCAAAACACTTGAACTTTACCACAGAAGAATATTAAAGTGGCCAAAATTAAGCACAAAAGTCGCTCAATATCATCAGTAAGAAGAATTACAAATTAAAAGTCCAATGAGCTAACACTTTCCATTCAGTAGAATGGCTAAGACAAAAAGACTGAAAATACTGGGTGCTTGATAGTAATGTGGTATAATTAAGACACTTACATTGTTTCTAATAGTGTCAATGTGTATAACCACTTTGGAAAAATGCTTGGTGGTACTTTGCAAAACTAAACATGCATATGCTCTGCAACCCAGCAATTCCTCTTCTAGGTATATACCTAATAGAAATGAGTGCATATGTCCTATAAAATACACATAAAACAACATTCATAGCAACTTTATGCATAATAACTAAAGGCTAGAAACAACAAATTTTCATCAATATTACAATGAAAGTAAGTCTTGTGTCCATACAATAGAGCCCTAGAGAAATGAAAGATAACTACTACTACACGCAACAATATTAGTGAATCCTGAGGAGAAAATATTGAGTAACAGAGGCAGAAACAGAAGACTACATAATGTATTACTCCGTTATATAGAATGCAAAACAAATAAGACCTATCCAGGTCAGAATAATGGTTACTTCTAAGGGTAATGTTTCTGATTGGAAAGAATAATTAAATAAGCAATTGGAGGTATTAAATAACATCTCAGAAAGCAGATAAACAATAAGATGAAAATAAGAACTGACCTAATTCGGTTAAGAATTTGAGATAAAAGACAAAACATCTCAGAAATAAAGATTAAATTACTAGGTGCCTAAGGGAGAATAGGATGACCAAAAAAATGTCATAAGGGACATCACAAATAGAAATCACAAGTAGGAATGAGAAAAGCCAAGAAAACAGCAGAGATAAAAGAATGCAAATCAAATCTAACACAAATATAAGTAGAATACCTGAAGAAGAAAAATGAAATACAAGAACTAGAATACGTAAAACTATAATTTAAGAAAGCTTTCCTGAAAAATAGAAGTACCGAATCTACATATTAAAAAGGTATAGCACATATATGAAAACAGACTCCAAGTCATAACCAAAGAAATTATTATAATTTATAGAAAAAATCTTCTGAACCTCCAGGGAAAATGACCAAATCACTTACCAAAGGAAGAAAATCAAGTTGGCATCAGGTTTCTTGACAGTAACATTTACCGCAGGAATATAATGGAGAAACACCTACAATAAAACAAGAAAAGAAAGTGTGAAATGAGGCTTTTATATCCAAGCAACCTTCCTTCACATATCAAAGCTACAGAAAAATAGTTTTGAACATGCAAAAACTCAGGGGATATGACCCATGAGCTCCTTTTGAGGAAGCTCATACTTGGAAAAACTGGTAAAAGGAAATTAGTAGTGAGCATTAAATATATTTAACTGAAGATCTAAGACTAAAACAAAGGTGAGAATAAGGGTGAAAGAACAGTATGTAGACATTAAACCATCTGACAAAGTAAAAACGGCACAACTTAAAAAGGAGAAAAAAAGAAAGGAAAAAGTATGATTAGTTCCTTGATTTACTTGTAAATAAGTGTTGGGAAACAGATTATATCATTTCAAGCTAAAAAAATAAAATAACAAGAGCCAAATAGCAGAAGGAGGGAGAGAGGGGAGAAAGGATGGAAAGGAGGGGAGGGGAAGGGGAGGAGAACTGAGGGGAGAGGACAGGGGAGACAAGGAAGAAGAGGAGGAAGGAATGAAGGAAGGAAAAAAACATGAAATGAATAAAAATGGGTTTCTATTGGGGTGGAGGGAAATGATGTGAGAGAAAGAGATAGAAACAATATTTTTCTGATGACACATTTATATAGTTTTCACTTTTGAGCCACATAAGTTTACATATTTTAAAGAATAAAATTAATTTTAAAAACTCTAAAATCAATAGTAAACTGATACTAGTGAACCTAACTAGATATGTAATTAGTAACATAACACTGCAAGGAAAAAAAATAGTTACATGACTTTACAACAGTACTTTAACCATATCTCTTTAATAGGCTATAAGGACAAGAACTACAAAGAAATATTCACATTTATTTAGTGACTTTATTATAATCAGTAATAATAGAATTTTGAAATTTTTAATGTATATTGTAGCATAAGTCAAATACGCAATCTTGTTAGGAAGAAAAGATCTTCAGAGCAGGAGAAAAGAGTTTGAAATTAATATTAAGTAAAATCTTATAATGTTGATTTAATTTGATGACATCAATATAATTACTTTGAAATATGTAAACATTTTCATCTTTATGCTTTGAAAGTGCCCAGGATAAATGATGCCCTGGCCATCAGAATATTGTTTTGAAATGCCATTGGTTATTAAAGGTTCCTTGAAGAAATAGCTGATTCCAGGTCTCTGGTAAAATAGTACAGGTAATTTTGAGACATCTCGTTCTGCCAGAAAGCAAGAAAATGAAGATAATGTAATTACATCAAAAAGACACAGGGAAGTCAAAAGGGTTCCTACTGGCCAAAGTTTGAACAACTTAAGCATCAAAAAGCATAATAAGAGGGCATCATGAGAAATCCTGTGGTGATGGATATGTTCTATATTTTACTATGCTATTGCACTATAGTTTTGCAAGATGTTACTACAGTATTGGGGGAACTGTGTAAAGGGTACATGGATTCTGTCTGTATTATTTCTTACAACAGCACATGAATCTATAATGATCTCAAAATTTAAATTTCTATTTAAAAAAGAATAATAAAAATAAGAATAGAGCAGAAATCAATGACAGTGAAAACAGGAAATCAACAGAGAAAAATCAGTAAAACCAAAATCTGATTCTTTGAAAAGATCAACAAAATCAATCCCTCTAGCCAGGTTAACTAAGAAAAAATGGAGGAGTTCACAAATTAATATCAGAGATGAAAGAGGAGACATTACTACAGAACCCATGGACATAAAGGTAAGAAATGAACACAGTGAACAACTCTATGGCACAAATGTGATAACCTAAATGAAATAGAGTATTCCTTGAAAGATGCAATCTGTCAAAATTCTCACAAGAAGAACAGATAACATGTATAGGCATATGTATATAAAATAAATTGCTTCAAGAATTAATAACCTCCCAAAACAGAAAACACCCACCCCAGATGGGTTTACTGGTGAATTCTATCAAACACTGACAGAAGAAATTATGCTAATTCTCTACAGTCTTTCAGAGGATAGAAGCAGATGGAACAATTCCTAACTCATTATATGAGGCCACCTTTATCCTAATACCAAACAAAGACAAAGACATTATAAGGAAAACCGCAAACCAATATTTCTCATGAACACAAATGCAAATATCCTCAAAAAAATTAGCAAATTGAGTCCAACAACATCTAAAAAGAATTACACACAATGACCAAGTGGGATTTATCCCAGGTGTGCAAGGCTTGTTCACCATTCAAAAATCAATTAATATAATCTATCAATACACTAAAAAAGAAAAATCACATGGTTATATCAATAAGTGCAGAAAAAGCATTTAACAAAATCTAACACCCATTTATGATAAAAACTCTCAGTAAACTAGGAACAGAGGGAAGCTTTCTCAACTTGATAAAGAAAAGCCAAAAACTCCCACAGCAAACATCATAGTTAATAATGAGAAACTCAAAATGTTCCCACTAAGATCAGGAACAAGCCAAGGATATATCCTCTTCTTTTCAATGTCATACTGGAAGTCCTAGCTCATGCAATAAAATAAGAAAAGGTAATAAAAGGTATACAGACTGGGAAGGAAGAAATAAAACTGTCCTGTTTCTCAGATGACATGATCATCTATGTAGAATATTTGAAAGGATTAGCAAAAAAAAAAAAAAAAAAAACTCCTGGAAAAAAAAAATGATTATAGCAAAACGTCAGGATACACTTTAATATACAAAAGTCATTCACTTTCTTATATATCATCAATGAACAAGTAGAATTTGAAATTAAAAACAATACCATTTACATTAGCACCCACCAAAATTAAATACTCAGGTATAAATCTAACAAAAAATGCATAAGATCTATATGAGGAAAACTACAAAACTGACGAATGAAATCAAAGATCTAAATAAATGGAGGGATGTTCCATATTTATAGATAGGAAGACTCAATATTGTCAAGGTATCAGTTTATCTCAACTTGATCTATAGATTTAATGCAATCTCATTCAAAATCCCAGCAAGTTATTTTGCATATATCAACAATCAATTCTAAAGTTTATATAGAGAGGCAAAAGATCTAGAATAGACAACAAAATATTAAAGAAGAATAAAGTTGGAGGACTGAAACTACCTGACTTCAACACTTATTATAAAGCTACAGTAGGGCTTCCCTGGTGGCACAGTGGTTGAGAGTTTGCCTGCCGATGCAGGGGACACAGGTTCGTGACCCGGGTCAGGAAGATCCCACATGCCGTGGAGTGGCTAGGCCCGTGAGCCATGGCTGCTGAGCCTGCGCGTCTGGAGCCTGTGCTCCGCAATGGGAGAGGCCACAACAGTGAGAGGTCCACGTACCGCAAAAAAAAAAAAAGCTACAGTGATCAAAACAGTGTAGTATTCACAAAGCAAAAACCTAGACTAGATACACAAATGATAAAGAGAAAGGAATCTAAGCACACTACTACAGAAAATCAACCAATCACAAAGGAAGAGAGCAAAGAAGAAAGGAAAAAGGAATTACAGTCAGAAAAATTAACAAAATGGAAATAGTTAAGTCCATACCTAATAATAATTACTTTAAATATAAATGTACTAAATTCTCCAATTAAAATATATACAGTGGCTGAATGGATAAAAGCAAACAAACAAACAGAAAATCGAGACCAAACTATTTGCTGTCTACAGGAGACACAGTTCAGCTTTAAGTACACACAGAGAATGAAAGTAAAGACATGGAAAAATATATTCCATGCCAATGGAAATGAAAGAAAGCAAGGGTAGCTATACTCATAAAAGACAAAATAAACTTTAAGCCAAAGACTGTAAAAAGATACAAAGAAAATCATTATATAATGATAATTATATCAAGAGGATATGACATTTGCAAATATTTATGCACCCAACATAGGGTCACCTAAACATACAAAGCAAATATTAATGGACCTGAAGGGAGAACCAATCACACTCTTTGGTATTTGCCAAAAAGAGTTGAAAATTTATGTCCATACAAAAACCCACACATGGATGTTTATAGCAGCTCAGTTCATAATTGCCAAAAGTGGTAAGCAATGAAGAGGGCCTTCTCTAGATGAATGGATAAACTGTGGTATATCCAGACAATGGAATATTATTCAGCACTGAAAAGAAACCCGCTATCAACTCATGAAAAGACAGGGAGGAACCTTATATGCCTAATACTATGTGAAAGGAGCCAGTCTGAAAAGCCTGGATGATTCCAATTATATAACATTCTGGAAAAGGCAAAGCTATGTAAGCAGTAAAAAGATCAATGGTTGCCAAGAGTTTGGGGGAGGTTGGAAGGAGGAATGAATAGGTGAGGCACAGAGGATTTTTAGGGCACTGAAAACACTCTTTGATACCATAATGATGAATACATGTCATGATACATTTGTCCAAACCCATAAAATGTGCAATACCAAGAGTGAACAGTAACATGAACTATGGACTTTGGGCGATTATGACACGTCACTGTAGGTTCATTAATTGTAGCAGATGTACCACACTGGTGGGGGATGATAATGGGGGGGCTGTGCATATGGAGGTCAGAGAGTATGTTAATCCTTGAACAACACAGGTTTGAACTGCACGGGTCCACTTATATGCAGATTTTTTTCAATAAATAGGAACTGCAGTACTACACGATCTGCAATCGCTTGAATCCTTGGATGTGGAACTGCCTATACAGAGTGCTGACTATAAAGTTATACGTGGATTTTTGATTGCATGGGGCTCAGCACCCAAACCCCTGCATTGTTCAAGGGTCAGCCAGCTATGGGAAATCTCTGTACTTTATTGATCTCTGTATCTTTACCCTCTCAATTTTGCTGTGAACCTAAAATTTCTCTAAAAAAACATAAAGTCTTAGTGAAACTGATCAGGAGCCTGTGGGGCTCCTGGGCACAAAAGTCTTTCCATATCCCCTGCACAAGTCTTTCCACGTCCCCTGTTTCTTATTTGTATGAAGTAGGCTTTCCTCAGCCTTCATGACCTTCCCTGAGTTCCAAAGGGCAGGT